TTGTACTCCGTTTTTTAATTAATATTACTTTTGGCTGTTCAAAAAAACTATTTCAAACAAGATTCTAAATTCAACATCTTACATATCCATTAGATGTAAAATTCAAATACGTAACTAACTAGATCTTATATATGGAAAATTAACAACTTGTATAATTAGATGGTGGTTTTGTTGGATGATGAGTCATTTTTATGGCATCTCAGTTTTTTTTTAATTTTTTTTGTCTCTTCCAAAGTTCCCCCAATTTTATGCAGCACCAAACAACTCCAAAACTCAACTCATGGCTCAAAAACAAAGGAGAAGGATGAAACATTTTTATGGGCAAAAACCTAATTTTAGTCCTCACCTTATTAAGTTTAAAGGTTTTAACCCCTCACCTTATACTATAATATTTTATCCCCTCACCTTATACTATAATACTTTATCCCCTCACCTTATTAGATTTATAGGTTTTAATTCTTTACCTATTAAAATCAAAGAAAATAGTCCTTACTTTATACTGATTATTAACTCTGTTAGCTGAAATTAAATTTTTGTCAACTAATAATCAACTAATATTCAGTTAACAGAATTAATGAAATATTATAAAATTAGTTTTGTTAATTCTATTGGCTAAAAGAAGATTTTTGTCAGTTAATGGTCAACTGACAATTAATTAATAGAATTAATAGTTAATTAACAGAATTAATAGTCAACTAACAGAATTAATAGTCAACTAACAGAACTAACAAAATATTACAAAATGATGGTTATTATTTTTAATTTTAATAGGTGAGAGGGTAAAAGTGTCATAGTATACGATAAAAGGTTAAAACCTACAAATTTAGTAAGATGAGAAGTTAAAAGTATCATAGTAAATATTAATTATTTAAAAAAAATTTTAAACCTCTTTTAATCTAATAACTTATCCTTAAAGTTTAGATTCTTTATTCTTTTACTTGAAAAAAATGTGCCAATCATTTTTACATTGTATTAACAATTCAAAATGGTAGCACTATAATTTGTAGTAATACTATTTCAAACAAGATTCTAAAATCAACAACTTACATATCCATTTGATGTAAAATTCAAATACGTAACTAGCTAGATCTTATATATGGAAAATTAACAACTTGTATAATTAGATGGTGGTTTTGTTGAATGATGAGTCATTTTTATGGCATCTCAGATTTTTTTTGTCTCTTCCAAAGTTCCCCCAATTTGATGCAGCACCAAACAGCTCCAAAACTCAACTCATGGCTCAAAAACAAAGGAGAAGGATGAAACATTTTTATGGGTAAAAACCTAATTTTAGCCCTTCACCTTATCAAGTTTAAAGGTTTTAATGCTTTACCTTATACTATAACACTTTAGCCCCTCACCTTATTAGATTTATAGGTTTTAGCCCCTTACCTATTAAAATAAAAGAAAATAGTCCTCACTTTATATTCATTATTAACTTTGTTAGCTGAAATTAAGTTTTTGTCAACTAACAATCAACTAATAGTCAGTTAACAGAATTAATAAAATATTATAAAATTAGTTCTGTTAATTTTGTTAGCTCAAAAAAGATTTTTGTCAGCTAATGATCAATTGACAGTTCATTAATAGAATTAACAGTTAACTAACAAAATTAATAGTCAATTAATAAAACTAACAAAATGTTACAAAGTGACGGCTATTATCTTTAATTTTAATAGATGAGAGGGTAAAAATGTTATATTACACGATAAATGATTAAAACCTACAAATATAGTAAGATGAGAAATTAAAAATATTATAATATAAGGTGAAGGATTAAAATTTTTAAACTTAATAAAGTAAAAAACTAAAAATAAGTTTTTATCTGTTTTTATAAGCCACCCGTGCCGCCCTGCCCTTAATTTCGAAAGGTGCCATTTTTATTTTTTAATACTATATTTGTAACAAAAATAATATAATAATAATAACAATAAGATTCCATACATTTAATTGGCGACTATATAAACATGGACTTGGGAGACAGAGAGTTTCATAAACACGACCACCTTTCACTTCCCACTGCTTGGCTGAGCACCGACTTGTGATTTAAAAATTCTTCTTTAGCTAGCTAGCTAGATGGAAATCAAAGACTACACCCACGACGGCACAGTGGATGTTCATGGCCGCCCTGTTCTTGCCTCCACAACTGGAAAGTGGAAAGCTTGCTCCTTTCTCCTGGGTATGCATTTCCTTCCTATTCGCATGGAAAATTAATTTAAGTATTCAAGCCAATCCAACCCTATTGTTGATTAAGTTGCTAGAAAATTGCAGGCAGGGTGTATGGAGTTAGAATAGAAATTTAATTAGTAGAATTAATTTTTGCTAATTTAATTGACAAATCAACAGCGTATGAAGCGTTTGAAAGGATGGCCTTCTATGGAATAGCTTCAAATTTGGTAAATTATCTGACCACCCAACTTCACGAAGACACAGTTTCCTCGGTGAGGAATGTGAATAACTGGTCTGGATCAGTGTGGATGACGCCAATTCTGGGTGCCTACATAGCCGATTCTTCATTGGGTCGGTTTTGGACCTTTACGATCTCATCCCTCATCTATGTCATGGTTGGTAACTCTCTCTTATTGCCGTATGTATAATTTACTTCTCCTCGTCTAGTACTACTCGTACATGTTTGTTTGTTTTTAACTCAATGAGAAAATTAATTAATTAATCAATTGTAGATGGTAGAAGGCATACTTTTTTTGTTTTTAATTGTATAATAAAAGGTAAATATTTTATTTTTTATTCTATTTCATTCACATATTATATTATTTAAATTTAAAATATTTTATTTTCAACAAAAAAAAAAATACATTAAATTATTTAAATTGTTAAAATGACACACTCTTTTATTCGTATTCTATGAGTATGAAATATGAGTTTAGTTGCGTATCCCGCCAAGCAAGTTACACCATATGTGGGGACCATATTTCCAGATACCTAACTCTAGAAGGCCAATTGGGTTGTGTAATTTTGCTCTAGTGGGAGTGGGACCAATAATTGAGTAGCTAGTTTTTGGTATATATTTTTCAGCCACTAGTGTTTTTCATCATCTCCACAAATCCTATTTTCTCATTTGCACTTAATTTTTTGGAAAACGATTCTCAACAAGATTGAAAAAGACGTATCTGTGTACTATCCCGTTCAAAATTTGCCGTCACCAGGGAGTTTCTAGGCATTGGTTAATTAATATCACAAAGTGTTCGTTTAATTTAATGTAATGGTGAGATACTGTACCTCAGCTCACACGTGCACACACTACTACATTTTTTGTAGCCTATATATCTATTAATTAATTTGATTAATTATATTTGTTTGTGTAATTTTGAATTAACAGGGAATGATACTACTCACAACAGCAGTTTCACTCAAGTCTTTGAAGCCCAGTTGCCAAAATGGAGTCTGCAACAAGGCTTCTACTTTGCAGATTGCATTCTTCTACTCATCTCTCTACACCATAGCAATAAGGTCAGGGGGTACACAGCCTAATATATCCACCTTTGGTGCTGACCAGTTTGATGATTTTGATCCACATGAGAAAGAGCTCAAAGTCTCATTCTTCAATTGGTGGATGTTTAGTGCTTTCTTGGGTGCTTTATTTGCCACTCTTGGACTTGTCTACATTCAAGAGAACTTGGGATGGGGCTTGGGTTATGGTATCCCCACAGTTGGTCTTCTTTTCTCCTTACTTGTCTTCTACTTTGGGATCCCATTTTACAGGCACAAAGTTAGAAAGACAAACAGTCCTGCAAGAGACCTCATTCAAGTCCTCATTACAGCCTTTAGAAATAGAAAGCTTCAGCTCCCTAACAGCCCTTCACATCTTCATGAGCTTCAGCTGCAACACTACATTCACACTGGAAAACGCCAGGTCCATCACACTCCAGTTTTCAGGTGACCTGTCCCTCTCACTTCTACTATGATATATAATTAATTAATTAAAGGTCTGATTAGTTTTTAATTATTTACCTATAAATAAATTCAACGCTTCAAG